GGGTGAAGACTAGCAGAGGGCTTTTGAGACCCTGAGGCGGAGATTATGTGAGGCTCCGATTCTAGTTCTGCCTAAGGGATTGGATGACTTAGGAGTGTATTATGATGCATATATTTCAAGGTTGGGTGCAGTGATGATGCAGAGGGGGCACGTGATCGCTTATGCCTCGAGACAGTTGAAGCCTCACGAGGCTAATTACCCCACTCATGATCCGGAATTGGGGGCAGTGGTGTTTACCCTCAAAATTTGGAGGCATTACTTGTATGGGGTGAAATTCATTGTGTATACCGATCACAAAGTGTAAAGTATTTGATGGACCAGCAGAACTTAGATATACGATAGAGGAGATGGTTAGACGTGCCAAAGGACTACGACTACGAGATACTATATCATCCAGGGAAGGCCAATGTGGTGGCCGATGCATTGAGTCGCAAGGCGACGGGGTCGCCAATCAGGAGCATTTGTGTGAGGGTGACGGTAAGTCCCCTCTTGATAGACATGATTCGAGGGGCTCAGGTCGAAGTGGTGAAGAAAGAGAACTGGAAAATGGAAATGATTCGGGGGCAGTATCCTTTGTTTGTTAAGGATTGTCGCGGCTTATTGACACAGTGTGGCCGAGTGTGGGCACCGATGTCGAGGGGAGTGAGGCAGCGACTGTTGGAGGAGGCGCATAAGTCCAGGTTTTCTATACAACCAGGTGCAACAAAAATGTAGAGGGATTTGAGGCGAGGCTATTTGTGGCCCTGCATGAAGCGAGAAATCATCGGGTATGTGGGGCGGTGTTTGACCTACAGGAAGGTCAAGGCCGAGCACCAGCAACCTCATGGCAAGGTTCAACCATTACCCATTCCCATGTGGAAGTAAGAAGAGATCACTATGGATTTCATCACGAAGCTACCACAGACGACGAGGGGAGTAGTTGCCATATGGGTAATCGTTGACATACTGACAAAGAGTGCCCACTTCATCCCTATCTTCAAAAGTATATATGCGGAGAAGTTGGCGGACATTTATGTTCAAGAGGTGGTGGCGAGGCACGGAGTGCCGGTATCAATGGTTTCAGATAGGGATGTTTGGTTTACATCCAGGTTTTGGAAGAAGTTCCATGAGGAACTGGGTACCCAGTTGCATTTTCGTACGATGTATCACCCCCAAACTGACGGCCAGAGTGAGAGGACGATCCAGACACTGGAAGACTTGCTGCAGGCACGCGTTCTGGATTTCGGAGGAAGTTGGGATGCGTATCTTCCACTGGCAGAGTTTTCATATAATAACAACTATCATGCCAGTATTAACCGAGCGCCATTTGAGATGTTATATGGGCGGAGGTGCAGGACCCCAGTGTGCTGGGACGAGGTTGGGCATCGAGTTTTGGGGAGCACGGAGGTGGTACTCGAGACCACCAGATTGATTCAGCAGGTGCGCAATCGGTTGCGGGTCGCGCAGAGTCGTCAGAAGAGTTATGCGGATCGATAGCAATCAGACCTTGAATTTCACGAAGGGGACTTTGTTTTCTTAAAGGTGTCGCCCTGGAAAGCGATTATTCGGTTCCGCAAGAAGGGCAAATTAGGGCCCCAATTCATAGGACTATTCAGGATCATCGCCCGGGTGGGCAAGGTGGCACATCGATTAGAGCTTCCAGAGGAACTTAGTCGGATTCACATCACCTTCCATGTATCTCAGCTTTGGAAGTGTGTCGCCGACGAATCCTCAGTCCTATGACATTCAGTTGGAGGGGAGCCTGAATTATGTTGAAAGACCAGTTGCGATTTTGGACAGGAAGACAAAGAAGCTTCGGAATAAAGAAGTGAAGTTGGTTAACGTGCAATGGCAGCACCGAAGGGGTTCCAAATGGACTTGGGAATCGGAAGATGAAATGCGAGGTTTCTACCCAGAGTTATTTGAACCAACAGGCCTCGAGGATGAAGCCTAATTCAAGTGGGGGAGAGTTGTAACGCCCTGATCCTTAGGTATTAATGATGATATTTTGGTTGTCTTTTTAGTACCTACTCGGCGAGTTGGCCTCCCTACTCTTCGAGTAGCAGCGGGTTTGCCAGTGAAGTTTAATGATCTACTCGCTGAGTTTGCTATGGGACTCGATGAGCCGATACTGGCAGATGAAACCCTAAACTTCGGGGCCTTGCACCCTATTTAAAGGGTCATAAGCCTCCCTTAGCCTCCCTTTTACAGTTCTTTTCCTCCCAAAGACCCCTTATTCGTGTGTGAGTGTGTTCTTGGTGATTTAAGCTTGAAGGAAGGATTTGGTGAAGGGAGCACTTGAGGAAACAAGTTAGAAGAAGAAAAGGACTCGTGGGGATTCAATATCTACCTTTGTTGAGCACTTTCTAAAGGTATTAAGCTGTTCGTTGGCTCATTCCTTCCAAAACCCTTTTGTGCATGGATTCTAGGAAAGGGCTTTTGTGTTTAAGCCAAGATCTGGAGTTGTAACTTCAGATCTAGACTCCTTTTGACCTGGAGATGCATAAAGTTATCCATTTAGCCTAGCATGAGCCTCCCATCAAGTGTATGACTCAATCCCAAGCTTAGATTTGCTATTTTAAGGCCTTAAAGCCTTGCATGCACATAAAGTTTGCAACTTTACATGAAAAGCATGCCTCAGGAGCCTAGATCTGTAATTTGGAAGCATTGCATGGCTCCAAGGAGTCTGTATGGCTCGAAATCTGATAGGACTCGACGAGTCTGAGGGGGAGACTCGGCGAGTCATACGAAGATAGGCATGGACTCGGCGAGTTGGATGAACAACTCAGCAACCCCGATGAACATTGCTATGAACTTGATGAGTTGGATGAACAACTCGGTGAGTCGGATGAAGATTGCCTAGAACTCGACGAGTTAAAGGAACAACTCAGCGAGTCAAGTAAGATTCCCCAATTTATTCGATGGTCATGAACTTGTCGATTGGCAAGCAAGGAAACCCGATGAGTGGACCTTAGATTATCAGTCAAGACCGTATGAACTCGGCGAGTCACCTCGATGACTCGGTGAGTAGATGTTATCCCGGGAAACTCGGCGAGTCACTAGTTGTACTCGGCGAGTTAGGGTCAACATGGACTATTGACTTGATCCTAACTGAAGTGGGCCGGGGCGGACTTTAAAGTTAATGACTAGGCATTATATGTCACTTTTAGGTGGTTGAGTTGGAGCAGTTCGTGGGGCATATCCAGTCGAAAAAGTATTAGTTCAGCATTCGTTTCAGGTGAGTCTTCTCACCATACCTATGGGTCTAAGGCACCAAGGCCGACCCATTATGTGATTACGGTAGATGTGATAGATACTCTGTGTTTTCTTTGCTATGTGATTGCATGTTGTATGAAGACCCAGGAGGAGCCCGTGGCATTGGATGTAAGACCATGTGGGGTAGCCATGGCAGTCCTAGGTGAAGACCATATGTGGTAGCCCATGACACTAGATGTAAGACCATGTGGGGTAGCCCATGGCAGTCCTAGTTAAAGACCATGTGGGCTAGCCCATGGTACTATTACAGGTTTAATGTATGCATGGTTATGTGTGATGTGTGTAGCTTTATGGGTATGAGGATTTGTGATTGTGTGTGGTATGCTCTGGAAACTCATTAAGCGTTTTGCTTACAGGTTGTTGATTGTTGAAGGTACTGCGGAGCCTAAGGGCAAAGGCAAGGGTTGATGGCGTGGCTTGTACTCTATCTCTCTTTTAGACGTTTTGGGGACTCTTTGATGATTTCATAAAAACACAACACTTATGTAATGAATGTGATTTGGAAACAAATGTTTTGAAAACTTATGGAATGTGTAATCGGATTATTTATTAAAACGAAAAATTTTCTTGTAAAATTTGGGATGTTACAACTGTGAATGATAGTTTATATGGAAACAAGTGAAGGGTGATTATCTATTTAAATTTTGATTTAAAGTTTACTTTTCACTCTCGATTGATGTGTGTAATTTGATGGTTGTTACTGAGTAATATGTACCGTCCCAAAAATATGATCCAAAAATTTCATTTATAATTTAAATAAAATAGTGTTCCAAAAACATTATCCATACAACCCAAATGAAAATAAGTTTATGGCGGAATCCATGTGGTGTGTGTGATGCAGTCAACCCAAGTTCTTCCCTTTAGAACCTAAAGTACCTGAAACATAAACTGAAAACCATAAGCACAAGCTTAATGAGTTCCCAGAAATACCACATACCATACATGAACAACATATAATGGGCCCTGCCCTGCATCGAGCCGCCCTCGGTATATAGTTCGGGCCCCGCCCAACATACATAACACATATAACAAATAAACACATACACATGCAATAATCACAAAGATATATAGCATACAATATGGTTATCGGGTCCCGCCCGGTAAGCATACAAGTACATAACACATAGAAGAGTCACGCAGACAACTAGCATACTAACATAACATAATCATGGGCCGACATTGGTACCTTCAACCCGCTAACATTGTGAGGAAACTCACCTCTAAATCTGAGAGATATCTATTTCAATGATATCTGAATAGGTCCTGGCTCTGAATATCAGCTCAACCCAACACCTAAACAGTAACCAATCATTAGATATAACTCAAAATACCGCGATAACCCAACAATGTTTAGTATATTTGTTTAAAAGATCCTTCGTGACTTTTTTTTGCCTTTTAGGGGTACGAACTTGTGTTTTACCATTTTAAAAGGCACCTTTACCCATTTTATGAGGTAACCCTGCCTTGTCATCTGCCAACTAAGTTGGTGAGTCAACACAGACTCGCTACTGATTTGACTCGATGCCACATGTGCAATGATTAATGATCATGTATTAATGACCTTCATTTATTTCCACCAACACCCCCAAACAACCTGTTTCATCACCATCACCATGATACCACTGCTTTTTAATATCAGATCAAGAATAAATTGTAGTTGGACTTCAATAAGAATCAATTAGTTGAGATGCTCCAAAGATTGAAAATTAAGTACCGAAATGTTCTTAGTAACATTAGTTCTGACAATGAATATGTCTTCAAGAGCGCTCATATCACTTTTGAGATATCATGTAAGATATGGAGCTCCAAAGTTGCTCTCGTATCAACTCCTGCAACTACAAATATTGCCAGATTCGAAGACTTGGAACCCAAATGCATACCTGTTTATCAGTACCTCACATAGCTTGACAAGAAGATTACAAAAATACCCTTCATTTCTATCATATACTACAGGAAACGGGTGTTACGGGGATAGGTTTCTTCACAGGTCCTCATCTGGGTCAAAAGAAGTATTTGATTATCGAAACTGCAAAAAGATTGATGATGGGTCCCAAAAGAAAATTAAAGGTTCAAATTTATGGATTTAACAAATACTACTATTAAGGGTGTGGACTTGAATACTATTCAGCTTTTGTGTGATAATGAAGACGATTCAAGAAAATGCGATCAAACTGTGTTTCCATGGCTTAACAGGGTATATGTAAAAATGGTGATGTAGCAAAGGAGAAAGATAATAAAAAGCCATTAGTGTTTCCAGGTTTTGGGAACTTTTGTAAAAACGATGCTTCTTCTGTAGTTTCGACCTCTGCATCAATTAAAAAAGAGGGATCGACATCAATATAGATTGGGGTGATGTGATTGATGAGAAAACATTGATGGGGAGAAATAGATGCAGGAATCAAGAATTTCAAGAATCATTTTGATTTGAGTTCGTCTGTGATAGAAGATGATGATCTTTTAGTTACAGTTACAACAGATTGAATGGGTTTGCTTGATGGATTGCAAAAAGATATGAACTCCCAAATGGAGATATGATGAATGATGATGTAGATGGTGTTCTTCAGTCTGTCAAGCCAATTTACCGGGTGGATATCCGTATATTTAATGAGTCTTCTCAGTTGGGTCAAATCTCATCCACCATGTTTCAAGTTAACCAATTATTTAGGTCAATCAATTACACCCATGTGACAACCGACTTGGACTATTTTAATATATGTGGCATTACGTGACATTTTACAACTAATGATTAGGAAGTGGTTAACCGGGTGACCCCTTAACATTTTTTATAATGACCTTTTAAAACGGCAAAACACAAGTTTGTTCCCCTAAAAGACAAAAAAAAAGTCAAGAGAACCTTTTAAACCAATATACTAAACATTGTTATGCTATAATGACAATAACGCTAAAAGAATATATATATATATATATATATATATATGTGTGTATATATATATATATATATATATATATATATATATATATATAGATTTCACTGTGTTCATAGATGAAAACCGTTGATTTTAACTCCATTGGAACAAATTTAGTTCAACGATGCCGTATTGCATTTCAACGGTTCTCGGAAACGAATCTCTAATTTCATATGCATGATCTCAAAATCGAACACCATTTCCCTGATTTCCCCAAATCTTCGATTTCATACTAATGTTAGACCTAATAGCCTTCCATATTCAAGAGGAAATCATCAAACGACTTCCTGTCAAATAATTGATTAAGCTCAGATCTATCTCAAAAGCATGGAAGTTGCTGATCGACAGCTCTTATTTCATTTCCACTCACAGTAGCCACCACACTGATTTGCAATATCTACTCGTAAAGTATCAAGATCTGGTAGATACTAAGGAAAAATATGTTTCTTTTATCGATGATGAAACTTTCCCCAAACAAAGTTTTGTTCTAACTCTTCCTTCGTCAGTTCAAATACTTAATCTTCCAGGACTGATTGATTGCTCCCACGGCTTGGTATTCTTGTACGATAATCATCCGAATTTGAGAACTGCGATGGCTGTTCTATGGAACCCTTCAATTAGAAAATCGATTGTTGTTGATGTGCCTAATGAGATGTATGTGGGACATGAAACAGTTGTTGGTTTTGGGGTCTGTCCTGTAACCATTGATCTTATGATCATCAAGATTACACAATTCAATTGGTGGTATACAGAGAAAAGTGAAATCAACAACCCTTGGAATGTTAAGATTTATACGATGAGTTCTGGGAACTGGAGAATTCTATCTAGCAATCTGTTGAGTAAGTCATTTCGAGTTACATTTCCTCAGGTAGTTATTGATAGGTTTATCTATTGGTATGCTTTGCACAAGGTGCCCATAGATGGTAGATTAAGGAGTTGTAATGCGATTGTGATATTTGACATGAGTAATGAGACTTTTGGAGTTGTAGATCTTCCAGATAGTTTAGCACACCATCCTAACACAGAGTTGTGTATTTCTAAGGTAAGCGAGTCTATTGTCATGATTGAATATAAGAACCGAGTTTGTGATGTATGGATGATGTAACATGGTGTTGGAAAATCTTTTACAAAGCTATACACCATTAAGACTATGTTTGGGGTACTAGCTGAAAAGCTAGCTGATAGTTGAAAAGCTAGTTGTTAAATAAAAAGCTAGCTGATAAAAAATAACGTTTGGTAAAATTAGCTGAAAAGCTAGTTGAAATATATAAAATTACATAAAAGGACATGTAAAAGAATTTGTTTCTATAATTAATTAAGGGGTGTATTTGGAAAATTTTCAAAAATCTTTTAAAAAGCTAGTCTAAGTAGCTTTTAAAAAAGCTAGCTAATAAGCTACTTTTTGGCTTACCAAACACGACAACATAAAAAAGCTCAAAAAATAACCTAGCTTATCAGCTAGCTGTGGCGGGCCAAACATAGCCTAAGGCACCACATGGGCCAAAAAAGACATTGGTATTTAGAAAAAATGGAAACCTTGTAATGGAAGTGAAAGATCATCATTTCTACTAAGGGTGTGGACTTGAATACTATTCAAATTTAGTCTGATAATGAAGACGATTCAAGAAAATGCGATCAAACTGTGTTTCCATGGCTTAAATCTGAACAGGGTATATGTAAAAATGGTGATGTAGCAAAGGAGAAAGATAATAAAAAGCCATTAGGGTTTCCAGTTTTTGGGAACTTTTGTAAAAATGATGCTTCTTCTGTAGTTTCGACCTCTGCATCAATTAAAAAAGAGGGATCGACATCAATGTAGATTGGGGTGATGTGATTGATGAGAAAAGACTGATGGGGATAAATAGATGCATGAATCAAAAATTTCAAGAATCATTTTGATTTGAGTTCGTCTGTGATAGAAGATGATGATCTGTTTGTTACAGTTAAAATAGATTGAATGGGTTTGCTTGATGGATTGCAAAAAGATATGAACTCTTAAATGGAGATATGATGAATGATGATGTAGATGGTGTTCTTCAGTCTGTCAAGCCAATTTACCGGGTGGATATCCATATATTTAATGAGTCTTCTCAGTTGGGTCCAATCTCATCCACCATGTTTCAAGTTAACCAATTATTTAGGTCAATCAATTACACCCATGTGACAACCGACTTGGACTATTTTAATATATGTGGCATTACGTGACATTTTACAACTAATGATTAGGAAGTGGTTAACCGGGTGAACCCTTAACATTTTTTATAATGACCTTTTAAAACGGTAAAACACAAGTTTGTTCCCCTAAAAAACAAAAAAAAAGTCACCAGAACCTTTTAAACCAATATACTAAACATTCTTCTGCTATAATGACAATAACCCTAAAAGAATATATATATATATATATATATATATATATATATATATATATATATATATATATATACAGATTTGATTGTGTTCATAGACAAAAACCGTTGATTTTAACTCTATTGGACCAAATTTAGTTCAACGACGCCATATTGCAATTCAATGGTTCTCAGAAACAAATCTCTAATTTGATAGGCATGATCTCAAAATCGAACACCATTTCCCTGATTTCCCCAAATCTTCGATTTCATACTAATGTTAGACCTAATAGCCTTCCATATTCAAGAGGAAATCATCAAACGACTTCCTATCAAACAATTGATTAAGCTCAGATCTATCTCAAAAGCATGGAAGTCGCTGATCGACAACTCTTATTTCATTGCCACTCACAGTAGCCACCACACTCGTCTGCAATATCTACTCGTAAAGTATCAAGATCTGGTAGATACTAAGGAAAAATATGTTTCTTTTATCGACGATGACACTTTCCCCAAACAGAGGTTTGTTGTAACTCGTCCTTCGTCAGTTCAAATACTTAATCTTCCAAGACTGATTGATTGCTCCTATGGTTTGGTATGCTTGTACGATAATCATCCGAGTTTGAGAACTGCGATGGCTGTTCTATGGAACCTTTCAATTAGAAAATCGATTGTTGTTGATGTGCCTAATGAGATGTATGTGGGACATCCAACAGTTGTTGGTTTTGGGGTCTATCCTGTAACCATTGATCCTATGATCATCAAGATTACACAATTCAATTGGTGGTATACAGAGAAAAGTGAAATCAACAACCTTTGGAAAGTTAAGATTTATACGATGAGTTCTGGGAAATGGAGAATTCTATCTAGCAATCTGTTGAGTAAGTCATTTCGAGTTACATTTCCTCAGGTAGTTATTGATAGGTTTATCTATTGGTATGCTTTGCACAAGGTGCCCATAGAAGGTAGATTAAGGAGTTGTAATGTGATTGTGATATTTGATATGAGTAATGAGACTTTTGGAGTTGTAGATCTTCCAGGTAGTTTAAAACACCATCCTAACACAGAGTTGTGTATTTCTAAGGTAAAGGAGTCTATTGTCATGATTGAATATAAGAACCGAGTTTGTGATGTATGGATGATGTAAGATGGTGTTGGAAAATATTTTACAAAGCTATACACCATTAAGGCTACGTTTGGGGTACTAGCTGAAAAGCTAGCTGATAGCTGAAAAGCTAGCTGTTAAATAGAAAACTAGTTGATAGCTGAAAAGCTAGCTGATAAAAAATAATGTTTGGTAAAATTAGCTGAAAAACTAGTTGAAATATATAAAATTACATAAAAGGAAATGTAAAAGACTTTGTTTCTATAATTTATAAAGGGGTGTATTTGGAAATTTTTCAAAAAGCTTTTAAAAAGCTAGTACAAGTAGTGTTTCAAAAAGCTAGCTTATAAGCTACTTTTTGGCTTACCAAACACGACAACATAAAAAAGCTCAAAAAATAAGCTAGCTTATCAGGTAGCTGTGGCGGGCCAAACATAGCCTAAGGCACCACATGGGCCAAAAAAAGACATTGGTATTTAGAAAAAATGGAAACCTTGTAATAGAAGTGAAAGATCATCTTTTTGGACCTTGTAAACTTGGCATTTGTAATGTTACTCACGTTGTTATCTCCTTGGCTTCATATTGCTTCTGTTATTGGTCTAATTCTGGTAGTATGTTGTGTTGCTTTCTATTTGGATACCAATCAGCATGAGGAGCATGAGGACTGTACCCCGCTGAATAATGGAAAACTATTATGATCAATAGTCACCCAAATGGTGCTTGCTTATTATGTGATAAATGATTTGAATTACTTGCTCGCTAAAATAGGGCCAATGACCACCCCATCCAATGTGTAACTCGTGGAGTACAAGCAATACATTTCGCATGCTAGGGTCAAACCATGTGATGTATCGCGAACAAGTTTAGAAGCAAGGAGTACAAGTCTTGATGATGCCATCACTAACTAGTAGGAATGTGATATGAACTGATTAGAAAATAACTCAATCTTAGCTTAGTGCTTAAAGAGCCAAAGATAGGTGCCTGATATTCGAGACTTAGGGGATCTCCAAAGAAAAGAAAACCACTAACTAAATTTTGCCTCCCCTTAGAAGAGTCGGCCCTAACCTATTTATTCACTCTCCTAAACTGAAAAAAGAAAACTATATTCGTAAAGCGAAACCCTAACTACATAAGGAAACTAGAATCAACTAGATAAATACTAATTAATAAAGATACTAAAATAATCATAAATTACTAAACAAGCCCCTGCTTTTTTTTTTTACGCTTCTTATAGACCCAATCCCACTTATCCGCTCGGTTTATATCAGTACCCCCTCGGTGAAAATCCACCTTGTCCTAGAGGTGGAAACCTGGAAATTGTTGTGTGTTCTCCCGTCTCCGTCTCTTCATCTTCCACTTCCTCCCTTTCTTCATCATCCACCAAGAACATCTGAAGGGTTTTCTCTGGGCAACAATAACCTGGACCGAACTTCCTGTTGCAGCGAAAACATAACCCTTTGGCTTTCTTGTCCACGAATTCCGTGTCGGTCATTCGTCGGAAGGCGGTGTAGGTTGTTAATGCTCCTGCTGTTGTGGTTTTAACCGTGCCCAGCGCATGATTCACATTGAATACCAATCTATCACACCCCAAAACCGGAACGGCGGAAACGTTCGGGGGCGGAGGACGTCATGTATAGAAAATTTTGAGTTCCTATGGTTTCGGTGGTCAATCAAAGATTGTGATAGTTCTTTGGCACTATCAAAAGTATCGGGGCTTGATGCTAACACACTTGACTGAATTTGGGGAGATAATCCCCAAAAATACCTCTTTAGTTTCTTGCTCTCAGGAGCAACCATATTCGGGCACAGGTTTGCCAGATCACAGAATCTAGCTGTATAGGTTGATATATCGGTACTAACCATTTCCAGACTCCAAAGTTCTTGTTCGAGCTTTTGAACTCCCCCTCGAGGACAATACTCTCTCATTAGCATGATCTTCAAGTTTTCTCAACTTATTGAATTTGCCACTACTATAGTTAGGGACTTAACATGGCCATTCCACCAAGTTAACGCTCTATCAGAAAAGGTACAAGTAGCAAACTTGACCTTGTTGCCCTCCAAGTAGGTGCTGATCTCAAAGACTGCTTCTGTCTTTTCAATCCACTGCCTTAGGATCATAACCCCACCAGTTCCATTGAAGTTTCTGTGACAATCCAAACACTTTCCATCAATGTAACCCGTTCTCGTTAATAAGACCGTTGCTTTCCAATTTGTCCGTTAACTTTTGGTTTAAATTAATTAAATTGGGACTTCTTATTTTGACATCATATGTTTCGGAACACAATGAAAACACGTGAAAACATCCCAAATTTTTATTTGGAAAATTTATAGTTTCAACCACGTCGGGTTATGACAACTAAATCAGATACGACGAAAAGCCCCGTTTAACGTCGGTATCGGGTAGATTTCCACCGAGCCTCAAAAATCTAATCCTATATAAAGTTGAAAGGAATTCATTTGAAGCTTTTTCACTCTCTCTCTCTACTCTCTCTCTACAAATCCAAGTTTTGATCCAAAATCACCCATTTCAAGCTCCAATTCAGTATGTAATCCATCCTAGCTGATAGTGTAGCATGTTTAGCTTTCAAATTCGTGTTTAAATCATGAAAAGGACCAAGAACTTGTGTTTACATCCCAGGAACATTCCCAAACCGTAAACACCATTAATGGGGTTTTGGAGCCCTAAAACCCTTCCAAACCACTTCTAGTGGTTAGATATGACTTAGGGGCTTAGAAGATTGGACTTAGAACACCAAAACCTTAACATTTGAGGAGTAAACATGAGTTTATGATCCAAGAACTTGCTTGGACCGTAAACACCCCTGCAAGGGCTGCAAACACCTTTTAAGGTGTTAAGATGCCCCTTAAACACCTCATATGCGTTGGAATAATGTATAGAATCAAACACCATTGTGTTAGGGACCTTAAACATGAAAGAAACCATCCCCCTAGGAGATTACAGTCATAAACCCCCCAAGGATTGGTTCCTGGGTCATAAACTGCTCTATAATGGTCAAATGGTGCCCTAACTTCATTCCATGGCTTGTACTTTAGACTAGAACCACTTATGCTTAACCTAGGACCATCAAAACACATAAAGAAAGGGTATATGAGATTTTACGGCCGCAAACTCCTAGTTTACATCCGTAAACTTCTTAAAGTGGTCCTTTGATGGTTAAACCCCTTCCAATGCCTTAGAACTAAACCTAGCAGCATCCCTCAAGTGTTGTAAGACCATTAAGAAACCAAGAACGCACCACCCATGAGTTTACGGCCGTAAACTCATGGGGATATGGTCTTAGGGCTGTAATCTCCATTAGGAGTTTACTCTTGAAGATCAAACTCCATATTTAGGCCATACACACCCTTAGATGCTACCCAGATCACTCCTAACACTTGAAATGAAGTGTTTTCGTGCCTCGGAGTGTATATTCTTATCTCATTAGTAGTTTAAAGTCTAATTAGATACAATTATGTATCTCTTCATATTACATAGGAACCTTGCATGTACTCAAGCGTGAAATTGACACTTAGCATCCAACCGAGACATTTCTCGTCCGGTGAGTCCATACCTCTACACTTTTTCCGTGTTTTCAATGTCTTCAGGGGGGAATAAAGGAAAAAGTAAAAGAATATCTTGTTCTCAAACTTATTATTTCATTAGAAATGTTTCATATTCCGTATACTTTTAACTGGAAACCGTATTAACCAACTGTTTGAATTGCTGAGTTAGTTTTGAAACTAATTGCAAACCTTATTATATAGTGTTATTTGATATATTTCACAAATGATTTTCCACTTCATTAATGTTAAAATCAGTAACTTAGAACTTTAGAATATGTCCTCGGTAACACTCCATAGAGATACGCGAGTGGAGGAGCACCTTTGTAACCAGAATCACAAACAGGAATTTCCGCATATGACTTGTAAATTTGTTAATCTTAATAATTGGAGACACGTCCTCTGAAACACTCCACATAGATACGTGAGTGGAGGGCCGCCCATGTAACCAAAATCTCCTGGATGGAGTGCGTGACTTGAGTGTATAGATCTATACGGGGCTGACTACCCCGCACCTCGCTACTAGCTATAGTGGGACCGCCAGGTCTACGGGTGACAAAAGTCATAAAATGATACTGGACTTCTTATTGCCATATCTAGTCTATTGTATGCTTATGGAACTCGCAATTTAGATAACAGAGATTTACTTGTTGGTAATAATGAATTTGGTAAGCTAATAACCTTAAGAATTAGTTTATTTCCCACACAATAGTTTTATATACATGTTAAAACTAACATACATTTCAAGGATAACCAGGATTTCAGGAACTTCACACAAATACTTTAAGTATGGTAGATACTTGTACACTGCATTCTAAATCAATAACCAACTACAAAATTTTAAGGCAAATAAGGGTTTTTCCTAGGATAACTGAACTGTTCATAACCGAATAGTGTAACAAAAAGATAACTCAACTTTTAATATAAGAAAATAAGGGATTTTCTTGGATAACAACTTTTTCAGAAAACTAAAGGAAACTTGATCATTTTCATAAACAAACTACTTATGAACTCACCAGCTTTATGCTGATATTTTTCAAAACTGCTTGTATTCTCAGGTCCACATTAGACAGGTATCCCGTAAATCTTTTAGAGAAGATGGAGCGTATTAGCCGTCTCGTCTTTTCTTTTATTATACTAATGTAAATGTAAAACATGTATTACTTTACTTTCAAACAAATGTAAATATTCCTATGTAATGTAATGTTTTGTGTTTACTATGCTTGCTATGTACATTAGTTGTGATACTTTACATGACGTCCTCCGCCCCGGAATGTTTCCACCATCGGTTTTGGGGTGTAACAGATTGGTATCAGAGCCCTTGTTTATAGTGAACTAAGTATACCAAACCTTACATGGTATAAGACTATAAACACTAAGGGGCCGAAGTGCTCTGAACTAAAAGTATACTTTAAAATATAACTATTTTTCGAAACTGTACGAGAATACCTAACCGTCAGATACTGTAACCTCGAGTACAA